GTTCTGTTCTGTTCTGTTCTGTTCTGTTCTGTTCTGTTCTGTTCTGTTCTGTTCTGTTCTGTTCTATTCTATTCCATTCTATTCCATTCTATTCCACTCCACTATTGTCTCAAGTGTTGCTGTCCTGCAACTGAAGCGCAGTCCAGAGACTTGAAGAATGGGACAAAGTTGGGACATTTGTGTTATTGAAAATTGAGGGCTTGTATGAATACGAGAGGGAAAGGCGGGTCAAATTAGGGAATCAGAAACAGCTTTAAAAGTGAAAACAAATGCCCTGTAGGGTTCATTTCTTCAGGAAGTTCCCTTGCACCGTCCTGAATAAAGTGAATGCAGCCTGCTCCGGAGCACTACAGCTTGATAGGTTGTCACAAGAGAACATCCTTGTGTCGTGGCCATACTCATTTATAATTTTCAAGTAAAATAAATGAGAGTGACAAGGCAAATTAAATCAAAACCTTACCCTTTGAACATTTATTTCAGCTCTAATGGAAAAGAATGTACAGTGTCATGGGAAGGCAGAGTGGATTTTGTGCATTTTATTTCTGATTCAAAGTGAAACCAAATGATGGTCCACTGGCATTTAAGTAGCTGAAACCTAAACTGCCTCAATTTAAATACATATGAGGAAACAGTTGCTTGTTTTGACTGCAATCCACATTATTCAATTGCTCTCCAAAATTTACATAGAGAGTCTAAGCCCTAATTTAAACCATGTAGGTCATTCGTTTGCATTTATATGGATTGTTGTATGTGCTATACATTAGGTAAAGAGACATACATTATATATGAAGCAGGTGAGTTCAACCCTTTGATCGCAGCTTCATTAACCATGGCCGTGGTCAAAATTAAGATGTTTAAAAACCCATTGATGTCAATAAACAATATGCTTCAGTTCCCCCCTGAAAATGTGGGCCCTTTTTTGCGGGGGGGGGGGAGATTCAAGGGGTAAAATGGGTCCTTTGAGCCTTTGAAAAGATTAAGGCACCATTTCATCCATTAAAATACATGAAATCCCCTCCCAAAATGGGATCTAATCCAGTCCAGTTTGGAGTGCAACCCTCAATGTGGCATGCAAAGCAAGCTATGGCTCTTGAGCTGGTGGAAGTTGAACAGCTCTTTCTTAGGAGAACTTTCCTCTAGACATGTTGGAATTATAGTGCCTCAGTTCTGGTTGGGAACTCTGGGTGATGTGGTCCCAACACAGGTAGAATGCATGAGGCCAAGAATAGACTGCCTCATAGATTGTATCATATGGGACAATTTTCCAAGAGCTGCCAATTTCTTTGTTCAAACCCCTGCCAGGTATTTTCACAAATCACTTTCAAAGCCACTAATAAAGGAGCACGGATTGCTACAATATAATAAAGCATTTAGTCACATTTAAATAATAGGCACAAGCACTAACTGTGAACTTGAGGAATCTTTAGAAATGTTTGTTTCTTTTATTCTTAGGCAGAGATACAGTCTCCAGCTAAATCAAAATCATGTCTAGATTGGACTAGCTTCACTTTTGGCCCTGCCTTGTCAAGCTATTTTCGACCCAATATCACATATGTTTCTGATGGCATTCATCACAGTAACCTTGAAGGCTGTGCAGATTTCATTTTCAATTTTAGTCATCATATAATCTCTTTCATAAACTTAAAATTTAATTATAAATACAAATGGAAAGAGGGATGGGAATGGAAGAGGAAATAAGCAAATTTAATATACAAATTCTGACATTAAGAATTATGACTTTTCAGGTATTCCTTGAAATCAGATTTTGCATCCCCCTACCCCACCCCATCTGATATTAAATTAGGGACAGGCAACATTTATGCAGTGATATATTGATTTTTAAAAAATCTTTGTGGGGGAGGCTGAAAAACATATAGGATTTGTAGTAGTGACATGGTGTTGTCACCACATGGGTAGGACCAAAATTATTAAAGTCCCACTTTTTGTTTTGTTTCTTGTGTTTCAGACTTTTAATAAGAATAGCTGTTTTATTTGTTGTACCTTTAAAGATAGTTTTGACAGTGCAAACTTGAGAATCTTCTGGGGACTGAAGAACAGGGACTGGGGTCTACACGTGGACTGTGATCCCTCATTACCACTCCTGTAATAAATGCTGCCCAACTGCAGTTATCATTTCTGATTTTTTTTTTAAAAAAAGGTACTGTTCCTTGTGAAATGCACAGTACTGTAAGGTTTCTTCACTCATATCGGAGCCAGCTTTCAATTTTCATTTCCCCAAATTGCAGAGCGTGATGCCAAGTGCACTTGTCAGAATTGCCATCTTCTCTTAGTTCTTCCCTATTACCAGCTATGGCCAGCCCACAAAGGTAGGATCAGCAGATGCCACATTTACTACATGGTTGCTACTCTTATTACCCTGAGAGGGATCCCAGCTCAACTCATTTTGTTTTCATCCAGTGTTATTTCTCCAACAAAACTCTGTAATGTGCAGAAATCTGGGAATAAAAATCCTTCCTCTTTAGAAAAGCCTAGCATTCCTCTAACATAACAGTCGGACCTTCCAATATCATTTGTGCGCAGAAGACAAAGTCACACACACACAATCCCATCTTCGAATAATAGATTAGAAAACCTCCCTATGGGTCACCTTTTCTTTACACCGTCCTGGGTTGTTGGAAGATCTAGAGAATGCTCTACTGTGCATTAGACCTGGTATTAACTCTTACTTTCTTCCTGGGCAGATCTGCATGCAAAGGCATACATGAATGGTGCCTTTAGTTAAACTGGCTGGTGAATTGGCCCATATGCCATTGTGGGTGTGTAAACACTTTTTCTTCTTGCAAAGTGGCAGCTGTTAACATTGTGCTGGTACAGTAGCCTCCGTAGCCAGGGTCTATGGTTTGAGGCTTCTGGCCATAAATCTTTCAGACCCTAGCGCATGTGGTATGTTTGACTTGTTGATTAACTTTCATAAGATAGATCTTCACTTGTCCCATGTTAAAGATGCAGAGCTCTGCTTCACAGCATAACTTAGTTCAACCATTGTTACAACTGAAACTGGTAGTTTCAAGAATAAAGCTCCTTATTTATACAGCTTCTGGCAGGACCAGCCTTTGAACAAATGGCCCCCCAAGAGAGGGGCGATTTCCTTCCATTTGTTCCATTCTGGAATAGCTTGTTGCTTACTCCCCTTGTACCCCATTTCACAATACTAATGCGCTCTAGGCATGCAAGATTTATCTCTGCCATATGATTTGGTATGCATGGATCTGATCACAACCCCTCACATGCGTGCCATTTTTGAATAGGCACCAACACTGTAAATTTTCCCCAAATATAACATGCATACCAACAAATGTTCACACAGTGCTGACGATGCAGTTCACTGCTGCCAGCTCTCGAAATGATGATGAACTGCTCACACTGTTTGTTTCAGCTGTTGAGCCCATAATTGAGCAGATAACAACAACAGGCACCCTCAAGCCCAGTTTCACAGGATTGCTGTCTCTAAATCTAGCCCTAGCACCTGGCAAGAACTATCATAGGCATTCTTTACAATGGCAAGCTTTAATTTGTTTAGATAGTAGATCTGACTTGCAGGATGCAACCCGCTGTGCCTGATACAAAGTACTGTCCACATCTCAGGGATTTCTGCCCATCAGCAAAAATAGATTTTTCAGGTTTTCTTATCTGGCTGGTGAGATGCATTTTGCTTGATGGGTCACACCTTTACCAAACTGACACTATAGACCAAAACTTCTTTATGTAAAGAGTCAGGACTAATTTTAATGGATGACCCATTTAATGAATGACCCAGATTCAAATCCGCCCTCAGTCATGGAAGTTCACTACATAACTTTAAATTAGTCACTTCTCCTTAGCCCAGGTGTTGTTGCACAGTTGAAATGAAGAAAGTTCTCTGAGAAAAGGAGAGATTTAAAATAATTAAATAAATAAAAGCAGGAACCGTGGATACATCCACCTAGGTGTACATAAACAAAGGAAACTTACATACAGATTAGCAATTTTGTACCAGTCTACATTTCATGAGATGGAATACGAGTGTATACAGTCATCTGGATAAATGAAATTGGGGCTAGTTTTTTTTTTTTAATTCTCTCTTAATATAATCACAGTCCATAAACTTACTAGATGTTTTATATCACTTTGAAGAGTTATCAGTTTTACTATTTGCATATTAGAACTAATTAGCAACCTCTCTAACATCATCCAGAGGGAGAGGTCTGTGCAGAACTTAATTCATTATCTTCTGTTATTGGCATATCATGTTAAAATGACAGGCATTGTATATTGTACAAGTCATCAAAATTTTAATTAATTTAATGAAAGCTGATTTCATTCTGCCTGCTGTCTCTGTGTAGGATGAACCCCTGTGTAGACTGAACCCTTTTTCACACAGAATATTTGAAAAGACTCTGCTTTGTTCCCCAAAACCACTTGCTGGAAATATTTTTGTAAATTAATATATAGTATCTCTTTAAAAATATTTCTTGAAAAAATATATATTTTCATATAATTTAAATAATCTGCATAATGTATTCTTGGTAATGCAGATTTGTCTTTATGGAATATTAAATTAATTTCACTGATCAATATAATCTGGATTGAAATTATTTGTCAAAGGGAAAAAGCCCCCAAAGATAGATATCTAGATATCTGCTTTTAGATAAGAAAACTGCACTCTTGAAAGTCAACTAAGAAATGCATTAAGCAACCAAACAGATGAAATTACTTGTGAAATAGAACTTATTCCAAGCCCAGATACTTGTCAAAGTGTTTAGAAGCTGGTTATTTTATAAATATACAACACATTTTTTATAAATATGCAACCATAGGAAACTAAATCACAAACTAAAACAATGAAATGAGCACAAATACGTATTTGTCTCAAAGTGGTTTTTATTTTTATCACTAGAAATATATTATAAGGAAAGTGATATATAGATTGATTTAAGAAATAATTAAATAAATTACTGCTTTCTCATTAACTACATGGACCATTAATTTTAACTTCCAATTCCCACTTCTATTTATTCTAATAAAGAAAATAATTTTCTAACAACATATCAGTATCATCATTATCATCCTTCAATTAAACTATTATCATTTCAAGCCCACTTCTACTGCCCATAGCATCTTTATAAGCCTTTCCTTTGTGATGGGATTTGGGAAGGGGTAAAATAGCCGAACTTTGTAATTACCTGTTCCTTGCCTATTTGATTCATACTCCTTTGATTTTTTCTTAATACATCCTAACAGCTGGGAGTTACTATCTTATGAATGCATCTTATAAGATAGTAAGTATAGTAAGAAGAATGTAGTAAGATGAGTGCAGTTTTTCCAGCCAGTGACAGTCCAGATATATTGTACTGCAACTCCTATAATTCCCAACTATTTTCAGTATTGCATTTCCCCTCTGAGGTTGTCATTCCTCTTGGATCTCAAAGGGAAAAATCTGAATTATCCTATTGCTTCTAGAATATCATCCCTGGGGTCCCAGAACAGCAACCCAATTTTTCTGTTAATGGCAGTATTATAATGCACAAATTATGATGATAACATCTCACAGATGTTGTTCTATAAGGAATCATTCAGTGAAGTCAGTCAAGGGTAAGTCTTAAATATCAGAGTAAAATTTCTCTGTAGATCAGATTCAACATCAGGATTCAGCCTGCATTTCCCCCCATGATTTTCAATTATACATTCTGAGCTAAATATTAGCTCCAAAGGATATGTTTCTTTCATTGGCATCTAGGCCATTGACTAGGCAGCAGAGATAATATTCCCTTTAACAAGAACGCTCCCCCCACCCCCACTCCAAGAGACATTAACTGGGGCTTTTCATGCACCGTTGAGTTTATATAAACTGATTGACACCTTTGGGGGTCATCTTTCCACTGAGTCATAATTTTGCTCACTCGTGAAAAAGATTTTCTTGGCTCTCCGTATTCTCTAGCTAAAGCTGAAAATTCAACTCATCATATTTACACAATAAAAAAAATCCATTCTGCCTTGTTTTTAATTGCAAATCTGACTCAAGGGACCAATTCTCCTGCTTAGGAGGCATCCCTGTGCCTTCTACTAGGGAACCAAGTGCAGTCAATTATGGTAATGAAATGTCAATAAATATAAAAATTTAATACAGTCGGCTCTGGTTGAGTGGCAGATGAAGACTTGCCTCCCAGACAAATCTGCTGGTTCTGCAAATATTAAATGCGTCTGAAAGAGGAGTTAGTGCCTAAGAGCCCACCAGTAGCAGTGGGTAAGAGAATCTATCTATTGGGGTTTCCCATTACATTATCATTGGAAGAGTATAGCTCCAGTAGTATTCATGAGATTCACTGGAAAATCCTGACGTATTATTAGGAAGAGAAGATGGTATGTTCTCTTTTATAAAACCAAATACAACTGGTTACCTTATCCAGGGATAACCCCTTCCCAGTCTACTTTCCTGACAAATTGCAGAGAGGAAATTGGCAGCATTTAATATGTCTTTGCAGCAATTCTACTTTTGCTAGTTACAGCCCACAAATAGGATGTTAAAAGGCCATCGTATTTAGAAACATTTGTTTACTCTGGAAGTGTAGCTGTGAATCTTTATATATTCAGATGTGATTTCAAATTATAGATAGTTCATGAGCCAGAACTGGGGAGCAGAAAGGCCTCTCAACATAAATGTAACTTTAAACACTGAGTTTACCTACATGTGATTCCTTATCTTAGTTTTCTAACTTGTAAAAAAAAAAAAAAAGACCATACTTACTTTCCATTGTCTTAAGATAATACAGACAATCACATTGAGGCCAGGTAGATTTAAACAGTAGCTTTAAGAACTGTCATGAAGATAATTTAAACAGAGTATTCAAGTAAACATATCTCCTGTTAATATACAATTACTTCTTTTCTGGAAGCTGAAATCCAGCACATTTGTTACTCATTAAGTTGGAGAAGGTTGGTTTAAATAAGTCATTCTGCAATAAAATGTTGTAGCTCAAAATACTCCTGTTCACTGTTGAGTCGTTCAGCTATGCATTCCTCTTAAACAACTCAGTTCCATTTGTCCCTGTACCTCCCTGCTGATTTTTACAATTACCTACTCCACTGTTTTTTCCCTGTATTGTTTTTTAATATTTGTTCAAACCAAAATACTCCCTGCCTTGTTCATACTTCATTTTTGTGTTGAGGTGATATAATCTGGCTACATAAGCAATAGTATTCATGTCACAATTTTACAAATAGAGGATGTTACCACAGAATGGTCCATACAAACAAAACAATAAATTAACAGATGAAAAATACAGATTAAAAAAAGAACTACTGTATATGACAGTAAGAGACATGTGTCTGTGTGTACAGTATGTTTATCTAGAAAGGTCAAGATTTTACTTCAGCCGACCTCTTGAGAACAGAAAGAGTAGATAAGATGAGATGAGATAAGTGTTTAACTCTTATCTCACAGATAGGCAAAACAAGACAGAGGTGTTATCTAGCCAATTTGATCCATTTTCTGAGAACTGATAGTTAAATTTTGGGGCACCATAAATCAACAAAACCAAAACAGTATTATTTTTCCTGCTTGGAAAGAAAATGCAGGAAGGACAACTAAGACTGTGTCTGATGAGCTGCTATCTAAGTTAAATAACATCTCTGGGATAATGTACTGACTGTGTGATGATGATTGTCATCCAAGATTGAAGGGTGCGGTTCAGAGTTCGCCAGGCCAGGAACAGCCTGAAAACTGTACGAACAGATTGATTGATTGATTGATTGATTGATTGATTGATTGATTGATTGATTTCATCTATTTATTTATTTCATCTATCTAACAAAAACTTTCTATGAAAATGCCCCCCTTTCTCCTCCTCCTCCTCCTCCTCCTCCTCTTCTTCTCCCAGCACTTCAGAACCCCACATGTGGTAAAATGAATCAGTTTAACAAATGTATGAACTAAAAGCAATGTGCCTGGTTAAGGAGAGCCAACAAAATTCTGATACCCTTTTACAGGTGGATTATTCTGTAATCGCATCTCAGGCAGGTGCCACCCTCAACAGTCTCATGAGCCACGCACAGGAGCTGGTAGCTAAACTACGATCTCTGCAGTTTGATCTACGAGAATTTGTGTGTCTCAAATTTTTGGTGCTGTTCAGTTTAGGTATGTACCCTTATTACTTAATCTTTACTCAGATGAAAATAGATTGACTTTATTCTGCTGTTTAATCTTTCCCAATTGTGTAAGCAGGTTCTTTTTATTCTCTCCAGCCCAACAGAATGTTGGAAAGGAATTACATTAAGGAGCTCAGAACTCTGTCCATCTCTCTCTCTCTCTCTCTTTCTATCAGCAAGATTACTCTCTGAAAATTGAACAGAACAGGACCACATCTTTTTCCTTTGGATATATATTACATCTCAGTGGCAGTATGAGTCAATATATTATGAAGTTTTCTATTATGCAACAGAATGAGATGAGAATAGAAATCTAACAACTAAAGAGAGAGGTCTAGTTCATTCCTTTGCTGACTGTTGGTGTTCTGTTTTATGGGGTTATATGGGAGAGCATAGAATGTGACACTCAAAGCTCATCCACAGATCTTCCTCACTGCAGCTGGAAAATACCTAATGTTAAAAATGTTTTTAAGGAGATGGCCTAATGACTTGGCTTTCATCTCAGTCCATAGCTGAGACTATCTAACTCCAGATTTATCTGATCTGATGTTAGAGTGACGTTTCCCATCTTCTCTCAACCAATATTTGCTGTATGCATGATTCGTGCACCTCAGCAACAATTGGGTTGATGGTGCAGTGGGGGCTCAGGTCTGCCCAGCTCCTATCGGCTATGTCTGGCTACTTCAGACACACCCCTCCTCTCTAACTACTGGTGGCTTCCCTCCATGACCGTTTTGCCTTGAGCATCATGAGTTATCAGGACCAGGACCAGTCGTCTGATGCAAAGTATACCAGTGTCTTATCTACACAGACAGAACAATGCCCAGTTGGTATGCCAATGGGATAATACTGAAGTGGGAGAATCCTCCCATCGGCTCATCTCAACAATCCCCCAACAGGTGCTTTTAAACAGAGCAAGAGAGACAACAAGAGAGAGAGAGAACAAGCAAGAGATCAAGAGAGTAATAGAGAAAGCAATACAGCAAATGAGAGAAAGTTAGAGAAAGGTAAACAGAAGAGAGGAGCAATAGATATAAAGCAGCAAATTGATAGTAGAAGAGAGAGGTATGACAGTAAGAAAACACGAGATAAATGAAGCAAGAGTAATGGAGTGAGTGACAGTGAGTGAGACAGACTTGTTAAGCATGAGACAGAGCAACCAATGGAGGAGGCAATAGAATAGGTGATAGAGCAAGTGATAGACCAAGAGAGGATAATGGAGTAGATGGTAGAGCAAGGGTGGATGGTAGAGCAGTCAAGAGAAGAGGTGATGGGAGCAAGCAGTAGAAAAAAGGATGATGGAGGGTACAAGACTATGCAATAGAGCAGATGATAGAGTGAAAGTAGGTGATGAAGCAAGTGATAAAGAGGCAATAGAGCAAGAGAAGTCAGTGGAGGAGGTGATAAGAACAAGAGGACAAGCAAGGAAAAAGACCAAGCATACATGTCTAGCAAGAAAGACAGTGTAAAAGAGCAAGAGAAATAATCCATGAATTACCTACAGGGTTGGTGGGACTGCACTGCCTTAATAGGGGTTGGCTGCAGGTTTCTGATAAAGTAAGAGAAGCAGGAAGCCTCCAGTCCTCCTGGAGTTCTGACAGACAATTAAACCCACTGGTCAAAAGTTCCACTTTCCCCAGCCCTACTCCAGGCTAGTAAGAACAAATGAAAGTTGTTCTTCCCACCAGCAAGAGATCCATCAATCACAAATCACTTAATTTGTCTCCCATAAAAGCTGCCAGGACAGCACCACTAACCAGTTTCATTACCAAGGCAAAACAGAGCTCAGCTGGCATATTTTTGCATCACCTTGAAGAAAGCAGGTTAAACAGCTATCTGGGCATATTCTCAGTCTGAAGAATTGCAGTCTGTTCTGTTACTCAGCTAGATACCTCCCCATTCAGCTTCCATGTATAGACTAGCCTATGCATGCAGTATGGAGGGACAGTGGAAAGAAAGCTAAGCATGAGTCAGAAGAAAAACTCGGAAGTCAGAAGTAAAAAAAGCTCCTAAATTAAATTAATGTAAATTTTTTTAAAAAACCTATATGACTAATTATATATACCACACAGACTATTATATACACTACTGGATCTATTTTTTGTTTAGCATCTGATGATATATAATCTATCAATCAATCTCGATTTTGATGGGTTCCAAAAGAGAGGAAATCCCATGTCAAAGCTGTTGGATGAACATTTTATGGGCATTCTCACAAAATGCCTGTATTTACTTACTGGAAAGCTAACTCTTGATGTTCCTTCCTAACCTTCACCCCCATCGTCCCACAGTGCTTCCACTTCATTTTCCCAATAGCATAGATACCTTGCTGGAAATTCAGACTATGCCTGAGGCTGGTGTTTTGCTTTGCAATGTGTGAGGTTCCCAATTTTAAAAAATAAAGCAATAAAAAAAATGAAAATTAGGCTCTTGTAGGCACTCAGACTCAGCTGTTATGGAGTCTGCACAAGATAAGTTGAAAGGTGAGGATTGATCTTTTTGCCTCCCTCCTTCCCTTTTTCTTGGCTGTTTTATTGGCCTGAATATCCTTTCTTATTGTTTTTGTCTCAATTCCAAATGTGTCCAGAAAACTAGGAAGGTTTGGACTGAATGAATTCTAAAAATTCCTCCAATCTCCTCTTATCTCACTCCCTGAATGCCTCTTTTTTGTTCTGGCCATTTGTGCATTAGTGTGGCAAACAAGGCAACTAAGATTTATTTGCTGCTGATCAGGAGGACTTCCACAGCAAACATCTCTCTTTGTAGCTGGATCTCCTTCTCTGCCTACCAAGAGAAAAATCCATAGTATCTTGGAACTCCAAGTATCATAATATTGCACTTATTAAAATATATATCCACGGTAGTCTACTGCAACTAACGAAAGGTAATATAGCAGTATCTATATATTAAAAATTACATATTTTAATTGTAACTAGTTTGGTGGCTAAGAAAGAACTTGTCTGGGTTAGGAACTGTTCCCTAAAATGTATACAAGAAACAAAATCAAATGCCGTATAGCAAGGTTTTGTTATAAACACCATATGGCTGAAAGCTATTATTGTACGTATATTAAATAGAAACATAAGTTATAACCTTCTAGCCATGGAGTGCAATTGCAGGCCCATGATCTACACAGTGCACTTTGTCCTGCTTTAAGAAGTCTGCCCTCAGAAGATTTAGACTACTTATCTTCAATCCTGCCTGAAGTACAAATAACCTTCTTAACTTCCAGAATTCTAACTTACTCTTCAGACTTTCCCTCACTTTATAACTCATTCTTGCTTGTGGCAGGCAGGACCAAACACGTTGCCTTTGTTCATATTATAAACCATGGTGGGCTGATTCAGCTGAGATGCCGTTGAACTACAACTCCCTGCATCCTTCACCGTGATCCTTTATGGCTGGGACTGCTGGAAATAAAGTTCAGCGACTTCTGAAAAGCCACAACTTTCCCGCCTCTGATTTAGCCAAGAATATTTAAATCAAACTACGCAGAGAGATACACACACATCAGTTTAAAGCACAAATTTAAGGCAAAAAAAAAAAAAGACATGTTTTCTTTAAATCCTTCTGAAAACACATGCAATGCTATACTCATAGAAGCATCCTGATGTATCTATAATCAGTGCTGATTATTTAAGAGATCAAGATGGTTACTAGGTATAAGGAATCTCCACATTGAATCAGTGGATAAAACTGAGTGGTTCTACCCTGAGTGGATTAACCATTGTGATGCCAAATGCTGAAAGGTGGTGGCAAGTGGTCAGATAAGGCAGATTTTGCTAAAATTGTTCCCACTTCCTTCTGCTGGTTTTTTGCCCTTCCAGGATGGAATGAAATTTTCAATTTTAAAGGCAGTATAGATTCAATCCAGAGAATTTAGGAATCCTGAAAAATCTGTTGTGTCTCTTAATGTTGCATCTGTATTGTTAACTATAATAGCATATAGATTCGGTTTAAAAATCTGTTTGGTGAATTATATGCATTAGCTTTTTAGAATCACAAATCTGAAAAAATTAGAACAAAGTTAGGCATTAGCTAATCTTAAAGTTCTGAATTGGAGGTTACTGACTCTTTCCAGATGTTGATGACTAGGAAATAAAAACACTACTGTTGCAGAGGAATTATTATTTTCTTATAAATTAACTAGCTAGATAGCACAGCACCTCTTGCCATAATTTTGCATGTAAGATATTTTCACACGTGTTAGGCAATGCAGCAGAAATGTCTAAGGAGTTATGTAGCTTGCTCTGTGATGAAATATTTAAAGCAACTCTTCATACTTCAGTGATATTCTAAACAGCTGAACATCTGAATTATATCTGAAAAGTGCTCACATTTATTTTAAATAATTATTACATGTTGTCACTTTCATCGGCCACTTCAAGTACGTTCATTTATTTAGAATGCCTGTTATTCATTGCTCTTATTTTTTAGACTACCTGGCTGCACGTTAATTGAGGAACAAACTGTGAATCACACAGTAGGGACTTTGTTCTCCCATTCAGATCTTTATTTTTCTAAAACATTTATAATGGTTAAACAATATAAGCTAAAAACAACATTAAAGAAACAAAAGGGGATAAAACAATAATGCCGCCCAGAGTTGCTTTGTATAAGATAGGCAGCTATATGAATGTGACTAATAAATAACATAATATAACATAACATAAGATAACAAACAATACAAATATTAAAAGCATTGTATATATTCACAGATAAGCCGAGCATTTTAGGTGCAAAAATACACCCCCAAAATGGGTTTGGCTTATCTGCAGATGGGATTATCCATGAGTATATGCAGTAATACTTTTTTAAAAGTATTATCCTTGTGGATAAGCCCATTTGTGGATAAGCAGACTCTTGAATTTTTAACCAAAATACTATGAAAAATGTCCCACCCATGGATAAGCACAAGTTACCCATGGATAAGCTAACTGTGAAAATTAAAACATAAGAAAATTTTGAGGGTTGGCTTATCCACGGATG